TCATAAGATCTGCTTCAGTTCGCATGGTCAAATCTCTAGCCTCTTATTCTGATATTAATAACCTATCTACCAGATCATCTAGTAAAAAGCCTCCTAATGATAGAAAATATGTGTTAGTAGCTATTTCACCTATATTCTTCTTATTAACCCCCTTATGCTTAGATATTGTGGTCTTATCTGCTAAGACATAGTGCTATGATTTGGCTCAGATATATATAAACTCTGTGATTATATTACCAGGAGTTTCATTTTTAAAAAGTCCAATAGTCTTCGAATTATTAAAGTCAAATAGATCAGGTCGTTCAACCATATCTTTATAAATATCTTTTGTTTTGACTTGAAAGATAAAGAGTCTGTGTCTATATATCCAAGCTGAGCCTTATTACCATATTGCTCCTTTACATAGCTATATTAGAAGCAATACATGTGAAGCTTACTGAGACCTAGGACTGATACACCAACAATGATGGGCTTATACCATATTAGGTCCCTTCTTTTGACTAGAAGTCTCAGAAGCTTGAGTAACCACTTGAGATTTTTCTCTTCTTCGATCCTTTCTTCAGGTATAGATTATTGAAGTAGGTGATTTAGATCTAGAAGGTAAAACATGTGTTAGTCGAACAGAATTGGATATTGATGTTTGAATAGGCTTTGGTTTAATAATAGGTTTAGATAAATTTTGACGACATTGATATTTTCTTTCTCAATGATGTTTAAGTTTCCATAATTTGAAAAAGATTTTATTACATCTATTACAACTATAATTAACCATTGTAGTATTACACTTGATATATAATACTTATAAAAAGTTTTTTTTTAAATATTAATTAATTATACCTTGTGGGTTTTATGTCTCACAATACTATAACAGACTGCACTCTAAGGCCCTAATGAATAGTAAATAGTTTATAAAATTTTGGTATCCTGTTCAGAATTTTGGTATCAATTATATTTTTTTTTGACTTAGTGTTTATGAAAAAGAAATAGCTCTAGAATAAATTCTTATATATTGTGAAATTACTGGTATATTGAAATATGATCTATAGCTTTTAAACTTTATTGTATATATACAGAATTTTAGTATTCAATTTAAGGTAGGTACTGAAATTATTATCTTGTTAGATAAATATAAATCTTCTTTAGAATTTATTTTAGAATATTATGAAAATATGATATGCATTTTAGACTCGCATGATCGATTTTCAATAGTCCCTTCAGAGGCAAGCAGAATAGCATAAAGTTATTATTCATATTGGGTTTATAATGTCAGGCCTAGCTCAAATCGCATTACTTCATTCCTTAATTTTCAATAGACCCTCTAAATGCAAACAGAATAGTAAAAATTTTTTAATATATTATTTGGGATTAAAATCAGGTTAGAATAGCTATATTAAACAGTATAATTCTTGGTATCTGAAGGCTAATTCTTAGCCAAGTTCGATATCAACATCTATATTTGAGTTAAATTACGTTAGAGACTTAAATTTGATAATTTGATTCATATAGCTAAAATTGATTTGTATGCAGTTAGGAATTTTACTGTGCACTATTTGGAAATTTTGTCCTAGAACCCCCAATTTTGCTTTACTAGGAAAATATACAATTGATTGATACTTTGGTTTTCTTCAACATAGTTAACAACTTGTGAAAAGATTCTTGATTTTGGAATTTTTAGGTCAAAAGAATCATTTAAGCCTTTTCCTATCAAAGGCAAGCTTTTAACATTAGAAAATACCATCTTGTTCCAATAAATCAATGGTATAGGATTCAAAGATATATTTATAAAGGGCTGCAGCAAGAGGATTTTCAGCATAAGAACTGAGAAGACTCTACATCTTTAAATGTTCATCAATCCATTTTATTCAAATAATAATTTTTATTGCAGTTTCTGAAGCATATATCACTGTAACATTTTTATAAAGTAGACTTGTCTTGAAATGAATAAGTATTATAAAGTATGTGAATTAAAACCAATTTGATATAATCCTTCGTTTCACATTATTTATAAGCTAAAATCAGAATTAATGTTGGATCTTGTTAAGTTTATTTTAGTATAAGTTAAGGAATACCACTTAAAAGTTTAAAGCGATTCATCTAAATATCAGTTGCATCTAAGTAAAGAAGTGCAATAACTTCTAATTCTTTCCTAGTTTATAAAGATATATTAAAGACTGAAAAAGCTAGAACTAACTTGTTGAATCCACTAATAAAGTCATTTCGAGAGGTAGTTAATAAAATAATAGAGCAGTTATCAACAGGAAATTTAGAAATGTTAGTTGGGTCTTTTAAATCAACAAGGTACCATAAGTCAGGTGTCCAGAATTGACGATTTGAAAATAAAGGATATTGAGAATAGTTGAATATTGAATTTCCATCAAAGTATATAGTAGGTTTTCTGGTAACAAATAACACACATTTTCCTTCCTTCACCAATTGCCAAAAGATATAAAAAAGAAACATAGATTTTCCAATTCCAAGGGTTCCACTAATAATGGAATACTTGTGACAATTTGGATTAGCCTTTGATAAAGCATTCTTAGCAATGACTTTGTAGTTAAAATGAATGTAAAGCTTTTACTGTTCTGTTAAAGGTATAGGGTAGGCAAATTCAAGCAGTTGTTATTTTCAACAATTGTTAGATGTAAAAAAAATAAATCACTGCAAGGTTGAAAGACATGATTTTCTGGTAATGTTGTGGGAGCAGGAAAATGTAGAATCATATGTCAGTTCTTGTTTTCCAAGTATAAACACTTGTCATAAAAATTGTTTTTACCTGATCATTTAATGTATGAATTTAGGACAAACTGGAAAACAATGTTGATTATAAATGAAAATAATATAAATTAGTTAAAGTATGAAAATATTTTTTTTACAAGTCTTGTTATAACAAGTAAATTATAGCAAGGATAACAAGTTAATTCACATTGTAAAAAGTCATAAATAAATAGAGGAAAAGATTTATTGGGTTAATGGTGAATGAGTAAAAAGTTATAAGAATAATATATTAGTCAACGTTATAAAGAGTATACCAAATCATCATTCAAATAAATAAATAAACGAAATGGAATGAATGGAAAATGATTTTTTTACGCAATTTTTCAATAGTTCTTGATATAACACTTCCCAACTATCTCTTCTCTTCTCCAACCTCTTTTTTCTTCCTTCAAGTAATCAAATTCCCCTTCACGATTTTCCTTCCCTCCTCCAAACAACACCTTCAACCTCTGCCCCTCCCACCCTTCCGCGAACTTCTTCAACTCTTCTTCCGCCTTCTCCAATCTCGTTTTTGCATCGTTTAATTTCGTATATTTTTTTTTAGATCGTAATTTTTACAATCACACCTGATCGATTTTCATTAAGATAAATTTTTATCTAAGGATATAATGATTAAAACCATTGCGAATTGATACCAAAAACTTTTGGTATTATTAATTGTGGATATTTAAAAGATTAACAAATATTTTTAGTATTACAAATAGTTAACATTAAAGTATCAAATTGGCATTAATTGTATCAAAATATAATATGTGATAGGAGTAATATTTATGAATATTTTTATCAAAATATATTTCATATGTTGCCAAGGATAAAAAAAGCTTTTAGTTATAGGTATTAACCTAAATTCTTATTAAGATTTATGGCTGAATTATAATAAGCTGGCTTTTATTTTCATTTGAGACGTGATCTGAAGCAAAAGACATTATTAAGGAATGTTAACACCAAGCATAATTTTCATTTAAGATCCACTCCACATCATCTTCATTTTCATTCAACCCTTTGTCATGATGATACCAGGCTAATGATGGTAGAGATTTTGTTCTCTCAACTAATTCACCTCCCTCAATAATCGAGGGATCAGTGAATAATTTTAAATCTGGATTCCAAACTGTAACCTTTTTAAAATTATAATGACTAGCATATAATTTTGCTCGTTTAATTAATGATTTAGTTACATTTGTATTTAAAGATCGAATTCTTAATATTTGAAGAATCTCTTCTTGGAAATTATAAGTCCAAATAACAAATCCTATAATTTGATCTTCACCATTTGTTAATTTAACACCCCAAATATTAGGTTCTCTCAAATCTTTGACTTTTGCATAAAAATTACTTCTCGCGAATAACCATTCAAAACATTCAAATGTTGGCAATACGACAACTCCATATTTAGCAGAATTAATGCCAATTTCATTTTCTATTAAAGAACAATCATATTTTGTTAATTGTACAACTTCTTTACAAGATAATGATATTGTATTGGCAGTATCGGAGGTAATATCATTCAAATTCGTATTCTCAATATTAAATTGGATTTCTTTGTGCCCAAAAACTTTCCAACCAAGTCGGCTATAAAATTTTGGCCCAATATCACTATATAAAAAGCTAAACCCAACTCCTTGGAAATTTTCTTTTAATTTCTTTCCTAACATTTCCATCATATAAGATGCGTATCCATTCTTCCTATGTTCAGGTGGTGTAAAAACTGAGGCTATACTATAACAATATTGTTTTTGTGAAGATTGAACGAGCGCTGGACGTATAAATGTTTCACATGATGAAAGAATGTTCGTTGTTGTCTCAGGCGTTGAACGAGGAACTAGGATCCAAACTGTAAAATTTTTGGATGTAAATGGAAGAGAAGAGAGTATCCTTTCACGAGAGATATATTCATCTAAAGTTAGGTGTGGTGCACCCCATTCAACATAAGTATTCCGGTTTGTTCTAATAATTAAACTAAGTTAGTGCAATGAATAAATATAAAGCCAATATTTGCTCGATCGAAATTACATTATTACTTGTTCCGGAGTTGCTTCAATTAATGTTAGCTCTGACAAATTATAAGTAAAACCCATGACTCTTTTCATTATAATAAAAAAATTTTTAACACAACTAATAATTTGACATAGTTATCATGTGATTTTGATCATGATAATCGAACATTCGTATTATAATAAATTCATTTTGTTAAAAATTTTTTTTTTGATATTAAATTTGTCAAAATGCAATATAATCCCGTTATTATCGAACAACTTATGTAAATTATTGTAAAAATTTATATTACTTCCATTGGATTTACTCATACTTATCAAGTTACATTTTATATTTTAGTCTTTGTTGCCAATGTGGAATAGCAATTGCTCCCAATCCTTCGAATATGTGCATTAATTGCATTCGTAATGAAGTAGACATTACCGAAGGGATCCCAAAACACTCTAATCTACAATACTGTCGAAATTGCGAAAGATATTTGCAACCACCAAATATTTGGGTTTTAGCAGCATTAGAAAGTCGTGAATTATTGGCTTTATGTCTCAAAAAATTAAAAGGTTTAAATAAAGTACGATTGATTGATGCAGGTTTTATTTGGACCGAACCTCATTCAAAAAGGATTAAAGTTAAATTAACAATCCAAAAAGAGGTTTTCTATTATTTATTTAACTATACTTTTTTTTTAAAAAAAAAATAGTGATGAAATTAAATATATATATATATTTTTGTTTTTAGGTTTTTGCATCAACAATTCTACAACAAATTTTCGAAGTAGAATTCGTTGTAAATTACCAACAATGTGATGATTGCGCGCGTATAATGGCAAAGAATGTGTGGCAATCAATGGTTCAAGTCAGACAAAAAGTTAACCACAAAAAAACTTTTTTCTTCTTGGAACAACTTATTATTAAACATAATGCTCATAAAGAAACTATTAACATCAAAGAGGTCAAGGATGGGATCGATTTTTTTTATTCTAACAGATCTCATGCTGTCAAAATGGTAGAGTTTTTAAGTGCTGTTGTTCCTGTTAGGTAAATTATTTTAATCACTATAATGAATTGTTTCGAATTATTAGATCTAAATTTTATACCTCCCTATTTCAGGACAAAGAATTCTGAACAACTTATATCAACAGATATTCATAGCAATACGTCGAATTATAAGTTTTCGTATTCCGTTGAGATCGTTCCTGTATGCAAAGACGATCTAATCTGTTTACCACTCAAAATTGCGCGTTCTCTAGGAAATATAAGGTCTGATGAGTATTCATAATTCATTATAGTTTAATTTTATCAAACTCTAATAATAGTATAATAATAATATAATTTTGGCAGCCCCTTGGTAATATGTTATCGTGTCGGAAATTCTATTCATGTCATGGATCCGAATACTTTGGCAGGTAACGATGATCCGGATCCGATGATTTAGTAAATTAATTTGTTTATTTTTTTTTATTAATTTAAGATATGATATTCATTTTCTTTATTGATTAGTCACAGAAATTACAACCTCGACATATTGGAGAACTCCATTCACATCTTTATCAACAACGAAGACTTTGGTAGAATATTATATTCTAGATGTTGAACCATTAGGGCCGAAGCGTGGCAAAGTAAATAAAATATTCATTTCAATATAAAGAAGCAATTGCAATATATTTAATTGAAATTTTGTTTATTCGATAGTATATTCTTGCAGATATCCAAGTAGCGCGGTCTTCGGATTTTGGGAAAAACGACACAACATTTTTTGCACGTTCTCATCTCGGTGGGATTCTTAACATTGGAGACACTGCTTTAGGATATGATCTTACATCCTCCAATTTTAATGATTACTCTTTCGATACACTCAATAGAAATTCTCTCCCTGACGTCGTATTAATCAAAAAATCTTACCCGCAAAAACGCAGGAAAAATAAGCCTCGAAAATGGAAGTTAAAATCAATATCAAAAGAACAAGAAGAAATGGCACCTAGAAAACAAGATGCAAATAAAATGGAAGAAGATTATGAGTCGTTTTTGCAAGATTTGGAGGAAGATCCCGAATTAAGACAAAATGTTAATCTATATAAGTCTAGTAATGCAATGAATGTAGATACAACAGCTGAAGAAAGTACTGCAGAAGAGGAAGATTTTCCTGAGATAAAATTAGAAGAGTTGTTAGAAGACCTTACACTTGAAGATACGATTTAAAATGATCAAGTTTTATTAATGATTTTAATGATTTTTCCAAGGAAATTAATTTAAAATAGTTCGTTTTTGAGTAAATAGTTGTAAGTAATAATGAACAAATGTTAATAAATAATGCTCATTTTAAGTGTGTATTATTATTTATTAGTTGAGATCGAACTAAAATAAAAATTCGGAGCTGTTTGTACAATAATAATGCTTCTACATCCTTTAAGCCTTTCAACTCCGCCTAACATATTTTCTAATTTTACTAAAGGTATTGAATTTAATGCATTAGGAATTGTTTTTTTCCAATCCTTTAAAAGTATATCACAATTATTTCGTGTATTTAAATTGCTCAATAAAGTTTAGCTCACGTGGATAAAAAATAACTTTATGACCTCGTTTTCTTGAATTAAAGGTTTTTGTGTAGCAAAATCAGGTTGAAGGGAGAAAATTCTAACGCATACCAATTATTTTTAGTGGGTATATGAACTTTGCATTCTGAACAAAGTCTTTTAAATCCCTTTTCCCATAATCATCTTTCTTCCATTCCAATTTGATTCCTTTTGGACGTTTATCTGAAACATTTTAAAAAAATTTTTTTACCACCTGGGCGAATACTCATATGATGTGCAATTAAAGCATCGAGACAAATGTAAATACTCCTATAGAATCAGGATACTTTTGCTTAAAGATAGGGATCGTTTTTTTTCATAATCTATTCTGAATATAATATAATGTTAGTATAATATACAGTATTAGGTAAAATATTATACCTGTTTAACTAAATCTTCATTAACGAGTATTTTAACTGATGATATTTTTTTTTTTTAAAAAGATTGTGATACTGTCAATACTTTATTGATAAAATTGTATAAAATAACTAATTTTAAAATAAAAAAAGTAAATACAAATAATAAAAACTAACTATCCCCCCATAGTTCTATTTCAAATCCGTTTGAAACCAAAATTCTCCTTCAATATTCCCTAAAAGAAAAAACTAATGAAGAATATTTAATAACGAAATTTTAAATGAAAACCTGTTAGCATCATTCTAAAAAATCTATCCAAAAAATTACCAAATTTGAGAGCTAAAGTAATTCAATTTCTCCAATTAGCTGAAAGCAGTTTCTTTGTGAAAGGATGAAATTGTGTTGAATTTTTTAATTTCATTTTCTTTTTCTTGATCTTTATTCCAATTCCTAATGATTGCTCTTTTTTAATAACATCCTTGCATCAAAATATCCAGATCTCATTATAAATTAAACCATTTAGATGATTAAAAGTTTGTGAAAGCAAATTATCCACCTTTGATTATGAAAAATAAGATCTGAGAAGAGTAACCAGTTGCATAGGAACTAAGCTTTTTAAGAATTATTCAAATTCGATATAGTGAAATGAAAGTGAAAAACTCAAAATCTGTTATTTTGTAATTAGATAATAACTTAAATAATCATTGTTAATCTTTCCAATTATTAACTCATTCAAATAAAGTATACTATTAGTTGAAATCAATCAACTTATCCTTATTTACAAAACAGATCCAAAGGTGATCAACAGTTTTAGGTGTAATTCCATAATATACACAATTCCAATCTTTATAAATATCAGGTTATCTAACTACTAATTTGGAAATAGTTGCTAATTTGTTAATGAGAATTTTAATTTTGAAAGTTTTTTTACTTTTCTGAATAAGTGAAGTTATTGATTTAAGACCATCATCATTATCAGCCAAATTTTGAAACATAAAAAGTCAAGCTAATTCATTATTCTAGTCTGTTATTTGATACCACAATTCCTTTATAAATCTAAGTATTCTAAAAATTGAAAAGTGACTTAAAGATCTTTTCAAAATTTTCTTGATAATGCTTCTACAGAAATATTTTAAAGTGATAAAACTATATAAAGATTATCAATAACTGTAAAATCAATAGTGAAAGATTTAAGGTAACATCTATTTTTTACTAATAAGTTAGCTTTATTGTTATCTTACGATACTAACGACTGAAAATTAGTATTAACGCAAGATTAACAAGGGATTTAGCTTTAAGACTTTATCGTGCGATTTATGGAAAGCTTCTGAAGATTTATCGATCAAATATATTTTTAGAGATAAAGTATAATTTCTGGGTTAAGTATTTAGAGTTTTATTAAAGAAAAGAATTATTACATGTGTATTTGTTAGCCTACAAGTGTATCTAGTAATTATCTTGTTAACGATAAAACTAAGTAAATTCTCTGTCATTTATGAAATTCTAAAGCTACCCTATTTATAAGAAATTTGATAATATAAATAAATTAGTTAAAGAAACATAAGATATGTAATCAATTATTAATGCTAATTAATTATTAATGAAAAAGAAGATTCCGGCGTTATCTA